TGTGGGAAAAATCACATTTAAGGCTCAGTCTGTTTAGTGCTGGGAGCTAATTCCAGAAGGGCCATATGATTATCCATTGATGGATGAAAAGAAAATATTATTTTATAAATATTTATTACATGTATATAGTTAATCACATATATGCATATCAGTACATTTTAATTTTATTCTTTTTAAATATTTATAATATATATTGGTTATAATGATATATATATGCTTTATAAGTAAATATGCATATATCTTAGGTACATACTCAAAATATTTTTTGTTTTGGGTATGAAATGTTCTTAAAGTTTGCAAATTGATAATCTACAGAAAAATACAATATAATGTATACCAATGTTCCCCATACTATTTAACTAAATAGTGCAGTTGTTTTAAGTAAGTTCTATGGAACATAAGGTGCAAAGAGGCGGGAAATCTTTGACAGAAAATGTTACTGAGTCAGTACTAAGAAAATAAAGAAAAAGAGAAGGCTGAGGGTGAGAAAGAAAATAAAATAAAAGAAAAAAACAGTAAGTCTGTATAATGCATTGCTTTAAAGTTACATCTTTTAGAAAACATTAAAAGTATCTACATTAACTATGCCTAATTCTGAATAGAGTGGTTAATATATGTTCCCATGTACTACTACTAGCAACCAGAGGAACTTATGAAAGTCATACCTCAACATATCAACAGATATGAATACAAACACTATGCGCGTGAGCGTGCACACACACACGAGAGAGAGAGAGAGAGAGAGAGAGAGAGAGAGAGAGAGAGAGAGAAGTGAACCCTACACAAAATTTAATTTAAAAAATATTTTGTAAGCTCTCCAATAGGCTTCTCTGCTTACTTCTTTTCTCCATTGAGACAGCCATTTGTCTCAACATTGTTCCATTATCTGCCTATAAAAAATACACTTAGGAATGTTAGTCAAGAGCCCTCTTCTTGTGAATTTTATAAGCTCACTCAGAGTGGTATTTCATGATTAGTTTGTGTTTAATAATATCTCTAAGACATCAGAGGATTTTTGAAGGGCTTTGCAATTGAAGGTTATAGGCTCTTCCATTCTTCCTTTTCACCTGTTTTTTCCACTCCTATCTAACCAATGGGATTCCATACTACCTAACATACTCAATCTATTTTCTTTCTACTTCCCATGCTCATCTATGTACCTTCTGTACCTGTGATTCTTAAATGGTGGTTGGCATAGAGAGAATTTTTCTACGTAAAATAAAACGTTTCTTTAAAAAAGTTGACAAATTACAGCCCTCTTCAGAATAAAATATACAATTTTTACCAAATTAATGGGAAAAGTTTTGTCAGAAAAGGCTGGAACAGAAATCAAAATCCTAGCTACTATATCCTAATTTTCATTGCCATTTAAGCTAATTCAGAGATTCATCTGACTCTGGCAATAATGATACCATAGAGGAATAGAAAGGTGAGGGAGATGGACTCTCCTTATTCTTAGGATGGAGACAAAAACATTTTCAGGCAACACTGTGCATGCCTGGAGTACAAACAGTGGTCAGACCAGCTCCTGGAACCAGGTGTTTAGAAGAGACCCAAGGAGTACATTTCTCCATTTCTGTGAAACATTTCCTCATGCGTCCTTTCTAATTTTTCCTCTTCCCTTTCACTCATCAATAAGCCTATATTTTACTAATTTATTTTTCTGTTTGGTTATATTTTCCCTGTTGATTTATTGTCTCTTATAGTCCCCTAGTTTTCTTTCTCTATTTGTTTTCTTTTTTTTTTCAAATTTTATTTTTTATTACAAAGGGTATTACATATGTGTCCATTTTTTTTCCCCGCCCTAGACAGTCCCCTAGCCTCCCCTATTCCCCAGTGTCTTATGTCCATTGGTTAGGCTTATATGCATGCATACAAGTCCTTTGGTTGATCTCTTACCCCCCTACCTCCCGCCCCCGAACCCTCCCCGGCCTTCCCGATGCAGCCACTATCTTCCATTCTAAACATTTGGTCTATAAAATAAAAATGTATAACTCATCTTCAATACTAACCATTTTCTCTTGAATGGTATTTTTCCTGCATATAAGTGAAACTCTGAGATATTTTTTCCTTTTTTTGTTTGTTTTTGGACTTTACTACCATATCTCACCATCTTCCATTTTAAACATTTAGTCTATAAAATAAAAATGTATAATTCATTCTTCAATACTTACCTTTTTCTCTTGAATGGTATTTTTCCTGCATATAAGTGAAACCCTTAAAATGAGATGATTTTTTTCCTTTTTTGTTTGTTTTTGGACTTTACTACCATATTTAGAGTCTAGCTTATTATTTTTTGGTAGCATCTCTATGGTAATTCACACACCATACCCTTCACACATTTTAAGTACACTTAAACAGTTTAGCATTTTCATATGAAAAGTAAATTTCAGTATTATTCTAATGAAATGAATATATGTAACAAATTTTCCAAAAATTTGAGTATAGTGTCTATCAGCATGTTGATTAAAGCTTGTAAATTAACAAGTTTTATATATACTTAAAAACCTGAATAAGGTTGAATAATATGATCAAATATTTAATT